AAAAATCAATTTTTCACATTTTAATTTTGCATTGACTGGAAATATTATCAGATGTAAGCACAAAGTTGACCATAAAACATTGAACTTATCAAGAATATTCAAATTCAAAAAGGTCTTCTTGAAATTCTATACTCACCTACAGAACTCTTCATTTTGACATCTAATTAAAAGGAATGAATGAAATAGATTAGCTATAAACTTTTCACTTTTGTACAGCATCAAAAATGTCACAGTGAATTTGTAGCAGCAAAATGTAGCTTTCTTTGGACCCAAATCTCTGTCTTTCTGTTAAAAAAATGTATACAGGCAAACCTTGACTTACAACCATTCACTTAAAGATAGCCTAGCTCTAGGAAAAAAATATTTACAACCTGCAATCACATGATTGTGATTTATGATCACAATCACAAAAATTATTTACAACCTGCAATCACATGATTGTGATTTATGATCAGTCTGTTACTGTCAATCGGGGAAGCCAAATTCACTTACGACCATGAAATTCGCTTAGCAATCATATGATTCACTTAACCATGACATGATTCACTTAATGGCTTGTTGACTTGCTTAATGACTGTGGTAAAAATGTAATAAAATTATCATCTGGTCACATGATGACTTGCTTAACGATTGCATTGTTTAGAGACTGAAATTCCAGTCCAAATTGGAATTTGACTGAAATAGAACTATTACCAGTTTGAAGCTGAATATTGATATTTCTATAAAATAAAACCAAGGACATTTGTAACAGTGTAGTGCAAAAGTGGTATACTGCCTTCAGTCACTACCAACAAAGCCTCTGACGTTACCTTCCCATAATGCACAACCAGGGGTGGGATTCAAATTTTTAACAACTGGTTCTGTGGGTGTGGCTTAGGTGGTGGTGGTGGCTTGGTGGTCATGTGACTGGGTGGACATGGCTTGGTGGTCATGTTATTGGCTGGGTGTGGCCAACTCAATATCACTCACATCGAGGCACGCATCTCCTTGCCTGCCCTCTCATGACTGTGGGGATGCTGCAACAGTCGTAAGCGTGAAAAATGGTCATAAGTCACTTTTTTCAGTACTATTGTAACTTTGAATGGTCACTCCACATGAGCAAAGTACCAGCAAAGGAAGAAAAAAAAACTCCAGAGACGTTCCTGAGACAGGAAGTCTAGTCCTGCCAAGAATGTAATAAGGGTTAACAGAGAGGCAGTTTCTGTAAGCAACACCAGAATGTTTCCCTCCTGCCTTCCTTACAGGATTAGGCCAGTAATTTCTTCTAACAACCAGTTCTCCAAACTGCTTAGAATGTTAACAACCGGTTCTAGCGAATAGGTGAGAACTGGTAGAATCCCACCTCTGTGCACAACTAGCCTCTTAAAACAAAGAGATCAGGAGAACAAACTTGGAACCATTTCATGTGCATATACTTTGCTGTATAACAAAACAAAATGAAAAACATTACATGTATATTACACCCAACGTCATTCTGGAGTCTTTTTCTTACCCAATGTTCTTGCACTCAAATGAATATTGCTAATTTTGCCAGTGCATACTAACGGAATGGCATTCACTAGGGAATTCATGGCTTTCTACAGGTTGCTGAACTACAAATGCCAAAAGCTATAATAGCTGGAGTTGCTGAAAGTTGTAATTAGTGACTTTTGGAAAGCCACAGACTTTCTAATTACACTTTATCAAGACAAATATTTCTCCTCACAATGAACATTCCCTCAAAGCTGACCTAAGGTGATGAAAGAAAGCCTGCTGGTACACATCTGAGTAGAGCAGAGAAGGCAGAGTAAAGAAAAACCTGGTTTCTGAAGCAGACTCTCCTCATGTCAAGCCAGATGTATGTAGCCTGACTTTATAACCCAGTAAACATAAAACATAACAACATCATAACATAACGTAACATAAAACTAGGCATCAACTTTCAACATTTTTGTCAAGTAATGTGATGGTATATGAGAAAACCTTGTGAGAAAGAGCCAGGAGACACATCTAAGGCAATGGTTAGATAACAGACAGCATAGTAGTGGATAGTGGACAGGACAAGAGGCCCAGAAGAGTTTCTGAGGCTGAAAACGAGAGAGGGGCAGGGAGGATTGTTCTTTCTCATACTTGCAATGTAGCTTTACAATACAGTAGAATTAGCTTATCTGGTTGTGATTCCTATCTGGTTTACCCCACAAGGCTGACAAGGGATGAGAAAGATTCCCTCAAAAGACAGACATTAAAAATTGGCTAAGCATAGGTGTTTTGTTTGCATGGGTGAGAGGGGGGATACTTTTAGAAGGGGAGCAAGTTTCTACTCTTAATGCAAGTCATAAATTCTAATCAGGTCAAATACTATTATCAATGAGATGCTAATTGAGGTTAATAATGAGCTAAATCACAGTATTGGTGATATTTTGTTACTACCGGTATCTATATGCTGCTGAATCCAAGGGAGCACCTTGGTCAGATCCGTAAAGACTCCTGGAGTTCCTCTTTTCGCATACTTCTTTTGCAGATTATGAATCCAGCTTCGAGCACATCCTATGCCCCATGAAGTCACTCCAATCAGGGTCCAAGGGCCATGTTCACGTTGGCACACAAGTGAACCTCCAGAATCCCCCTGCAGGAGAAACATTTTTTTTCCCCCAAAAGGAGACACATCTGAAACATTACATGCAGTTCTTTACTTATTGGATCTTAAGCATACTCTCCTTTTTGCAAACTGGTGGGACAGCTCATTCCAGCCCTGTCACCTAATAAAGAGGCAATGTTACCTAGAGAATAAATTAGGGCAGGACTTAATGTGTGAAAGACTTCACCGAAAAGTTGACTCTGGCAAGGGAGAGGAACCCATTTGAGATCCAGTTGAGAAAATATAATTGGTTGGTCTTTATCAATGAATGGATGTGTTTTTGATGCCTCCACTAAGTTTGCATTAAAAATTGCAGGACTATGGATTAAAGAAGAATTGGATCCTAAATTACTGAAGGATTATTCTCATGCCCACTATGAAACACTAGAATGACTGTCCACTTGCAAAGACTAAAATAGATTATTTTTATTCACATTTCTTGCCAATTTTTCAATGCCCTAATAAAAGCACCATTAAAAGCTCAGGGCTGGCTCTACTTATTTTGAAGCAATGGTTCTTTGGTGGCTAATGATCAAACAGCCTTGCTCTGAATTTCCACCTGGAAATGAACTTGAAATTTATTATTAATAAGCCACGGCCTTTCCTCCTAATAGTTTCTTTTGGAATTTTTCTAAAAGTCACAAAATGGACCTAAAACTACAATGGTATTTTACTACCGTATTGTGTATCATCATCATCCACAACATTACCATTACTACCAATATCATCACCATCATCATCACATTCTCCTTAATAAACCTACTGATATAACCTACCAACCTGGCAAGCATCTTTTCCTCCATCTGGAAATCCAGCACACATTATAGTGTGACTTTGAATAGGCCTCCTTAGAGTTGACAAGATTCCAGAACATTGTGTCTGGTCTAAGATAGGCAATCTGACTTCATGCAGGATGTCAGGGAGAATCCCATCTGAAAACCAAACAAAAAACAAAAAAAACTTCAGGAAGTTGCTTAGCCGTTGCATAGCAAGTTTTCATATTGTCATATTACATCAAGGTCCAGATTGTTCATTCTAGCTAGAAATAGATGTTAGGGGTCTCAAGCAAAGATCTTTGTTTACTGCCTGATCCCTTTTTACTCTGGAGTTCCAGGGACTGGACCACTAGCCCTCAGAGTACTTAATGTGTATTGTGCCATTTTCCCCTCCACAAAACTTTCAAACATCATGAATTGAAATGGTGAAAGACTACAATGTGAAGCCAACAGTTTTCCAACTGTTTGTTAAACGTGATGACCATTGAAAACAGGATTTCTAGCCCTAGATGAAAGGAGAACTGCATGTTGAAATACGTGACATCGTTGAACATCATGGGATACACACTATTATGCAATCATTTTCATAAATTAAGCAACAGGGTAATAAGCAGATGTTTCTGAATATCTCTTTACCGCAATATCTAACATTTGCTTATATTTGTGGAAATTTAGCCTTAGAATGCACTAGAACCAAGGCTGACTTTATTTTGGGAGTGAAAATAGTATTGGGCATAGAGAGAAAACACACTTCCCTAAAACATTTGAGCTGCATTTATTGTCACTTTCTCCCCGCTTTCATTTTTTGCATTATTCATTTTCATTTTTTGCCTCCCACCTTGGCTTCCCATGAGGGGGAAGGAGGAGAAGAGAGAGAGAGAGAGAGAGCTGATAGCACATATACATAAATGTACATTTAATAATAACTCCTTTTGAAGCATGAAACATGTTGAAATATCATATCATTTCCTTACTTTCTCTTAAACGACCCCAACCACAAGTGACACATACATATCCTGGATCAAATTTTTCATGCGGGCCAGGAAGACATACTGGCCATACTGCTGTACCTAACATTAAAACAGATCAAAGTTCTGATTACACATTTGAATGAATAACGTTAATGTGGCTCATGTCTCAATGACAATTTCATACACCTTAATAGGTATCAAGAGGCCCAGCATAGAAAGTAATTTCTACAAAAGTTAAAGTATAATTTACAAAAGTATAAAATCTAATTTAACACTATGAAATGGAAATAGAATTCCGTTCCAAAGTGGACATCAAAATAAAATCCAATATTAAATGCCTTTGTGTTTCCTACCTGTACACCCAAAGTTTTAAATGTGTCGTCTTCTTTCCATCCACAGTTGGAGTTGTGTAAAAGTGCCTGATTTTGTTTGATCATCTAATGATAAACAAGCCAGGCACAAGCCACAACTAGAATCTTGCCTTCCCCTCAGGATGCATGTTCTCATCACCCACACTTAATCTTTTGCCTCTAAATCACTCACATCTCTCCTTATCCAGAAAGCAATTAACAGAGTGCTCTGTTCATAGCTGCACTGTGGGTGGTGAAGGCAGAGTGTACATACTGTGCTAGTGAAACGTAATCATGAGACTTCTTGAGAATCAAGCTATGTAAGGGTACTGATCAGTGGTGGTAATCAAATTTGTTTACTACCGGTTCTGTGGGCATGGCTTGGTGGGCATGGTGTGGCTTGGTGGGCCTGGCAGGGGAAGGATACTATAAAATCCCCATTCCCTCCCCACCCCACTAATCTGCTTTTCAGCTCCGTTCTCCTGTGCAGGGCAACAAAAGAAGACCCAGCCAATCAGCTGGGACTCAGGAGGCAGAGAATAGATGGGGGCAGGGCCAGTCAGAGGTGGTATTTATCAGTTCCCCAAACTACTCAAAATTTCTGCTACCAGTTCTCCAGAACTTGTCAGAACTGGCTGAATACCACCTCTGGTACTGATTGCTGACACAACCTACTATGTGCCTAGACTTCCTATATAGAGTAGTATTAGATTGTACAGTAAATTATTTTCCTTTGAATACCACATTTTTATATGATAGCTCAGATATGCACACATGCTCATCACACATATGTCGACATATCATCTAAAACTAGGATATTACCATATTGGAAGTGACCATCCATTTTTAGAAGAGCAATATCATAATCCATTGGTTTCCTCCTATTAAATTTGGGGTGCTTAATTATGTATTTGACATGGAGCGTCTGCTCTTCCTCATCTTTTAGACTCAAATCATGTTCTCCAGCAGTGACGGTCAGCAAATGCAGCAGTGATCTACAGAACAGTGGAGAGTTATAACTGGGAAAAACTGAAGATGGGTTTCTCAAAACTTAATTAAGTAAAGAATCCTCTTTTAGGCAGAGATTTTGTCTATCTATATCAGGGGTCCCCAAACTTGGCAACTTTAAGATTCGTGGAGTCTTACAGTTGCCAAGTTTGGAGACCTCTAATCTATATCTACAGTGCATTCAGAAAGTATTCAGACCCCCTTCACTTTTGTCCATTTTGTTATGGTGCAGCCTGATTCTACAGTTGTTGAAATTCATTTTTTCCCTCATTAATCTACACTCATAATGACAAAGTGAAAACGGAATTTTAGAAATGTCTGTAAATGCATTAAAAAGAAAGAAAAACCTTGAAATATTCCAATTGAATTGCCTGCTTGTACCTGCTTACAACACAGTGAGCTGCTGTGATTACCCACTGAGTGGAAACAAGAGTTCCTCCACAGAAATGATGATTACTTCTTTTCAAGGAAACCTGTATCACAGAGAGCACATACTACTTTAGGAAACGAACACCTCAGAACAGAAAGAACAGTAGAAGGCAGAATACACAGTGGGGTACAGTGAATATGTAATAAAAGTCAGATTAATGTCATAAATTCATGAAAATAATATCTACTGTGCATAATATGAAGCAGAACTGAATGCTAATAGCCACCATCAACCCACTGACTTTGCCACTGGTGCAGTGGTTAGAGTGCAGTACTGCAGGCTACTTCTGCTGACTATCGGCTGACTGCAATTTGGCAGTTAAAATCTCCTCAGGATCAAGGTTGACTCAGCCTTCCATCTTTCTGAGGTGGGTAAAATGAAGACCCAGATTGTTAGGGGCCATATGCTGACTCTGTAAACCACTTAGAGAGGGCTGTAAAGCACTATAAATTGGTATATAAGTGCTATTGCTATTCTCAAAATTGGCCCAATACTATCAATATCTAAATAGTTTTCTTCATATGAGATTAATATCATTGTAATGACTGAAGCTATCTTTTTTCATATTCCCTTCCTCGGGTATTTATAGTGCAGTATAAATAGTTGCAGTAGCAGCACTTGGGAGGAAAAATCCAAAGGGGCAGATTATAGTAGAGCATATCATTTGCGCTTGTGAAAATGCCTGAACCTGCCAATCAAAACAGATGTAGTATATTGCATTGTTTGGTGTGGCCAGAAGCTTAGAAGTGACAAAGTGCATTTTGTGGGAGGAAAATGTTGGAAACTGAAAGAAAAGTTACACTCCCATCACAAATCTTCAAAAAAAACAAAACCATTTTTTTTATTATATCTGAACAATGTCTTTCCTTTAAGTAACCGCAGATGGCCAATAAAAACTGTGGAGGGGAGAGCAAATGCATTGTTCTCTTGTTTGGCATTACCTATGAGATTAAAATTGGATTTTCCAAAAGAGTATGCCTATCTCAGTTTCTCATAATACAGACAACAGAATTAATGACAATGTTGTATTGGAGATCAAAAAAAAAAGAATGGCCATTGTTTATTATTTGCTCCACTGGTCTTGCAAAGTGTAACATGCTGTTTAGCAAAAGCAACTATATAAAAATAAAATCAAAGATATGTGATAACCTAACTTTTCTTATTAGTGTGATAAGAGTGGGAGGAAATACACTGACCTGCCATGGATGTGATCCTTGTTGTACTTGGCTTCCACCAACAATCCGAGCAAAGTGATTATAAAAGGCCCACGAATCGCTTCCAAGGACTTTATGCCCACATCTTGAATCTAAAAAGCATAGAAAAGAGGCAATGTAGAAAACAGGAACCCTTAGTACTAATCATCTACTTTATTTAGTGATCATGTCTAAATTTAAATTGTCCCCAAATTATTGAATTTTTCTAATCATATTATTTAATGAAGTGTATTTTTAATCATATTATTCTAATACAGTGGGAAAGATTCAGATAAATAACAGAAATAGAAAGATTTTTTTTCATTTTGTAGAATTCTTTAGATCAAATTAAACTATGCTATTAAAAGCAATTAAATAGTATCTAAATGTGCTCAATTCTAAACACAAATGACTTAATTTGAAATTCAGTTAGACTAACTTTATGCATGCCAACTACAAAATAATCATAAAGATCAGACTTATATTGAATGTTAAGTCTTTATTATCCACATAGATATATTTACATTTACTAACAAATTTAACATTCTGTTCAAGATGTTATAAGCTCAGACCATATAGCAGTGAGATATCAACATGTGGATAAGCCTACTAAAGGTAAAATATGAAATAATTACAAATTTTATTTTATATTAATTGAGTATTTAGCTATCAGGTTTTGGTGTCTCCCTGAATCTTCAGAATAAACTGATCCATGAGTAATCAAAATGCAAAGTAACAGGTTGTAAATTTAGGTCCAGTTATGTCCACATAATTAAGAACTGTCTGTTCCAAAAGAGGAATTTATGAATAAAAAGGGAAGGAAAGTGATTCTACATTGTCCAATGTCTTCCAAGCCTTTGAACAGATTTTGAAGGAAAGGAAATCAACCAAATCCTGTTTTCCATGTACCAAATTCTCTGATAGAATCAAAGAGCTTTCCAGATGGACACAATTGGAAGTAACCTTTTGCATCTTTGTATATAAAATTAACATTTTCATATAATAGTCCATTCAGGATCTACTCCCAGAATCATAATGAAATATTATCTCATGTACAAAAACCCATACCCAAAGTTATTTTTAAGGTGATGTGTCACTGCCACTCATCATACAAGGTTTACAGTCTATTCTTTTATTTGTTTCTTTCTTTCTTATTCTTTCTCCTTTTTGGTTCTTCCACAACAACCACCCTTTGGCAAAGGATGAGCTGAGAAGAGTACATGGCCCAAAATCATGCAGTGCACTTCCATGGTTCATGGGGATTATAAAACCTCCTTTCCCAGTCCTAGTCCAGCACCTATCTTTTTCCTACTCTTGGCTACAGAAGAAATAAGAAAGACTAGCTGGTAAATAAAGTCACTGAGATAAGTAAACATAATATTTACTTGGCCCAATATAAATATCACTATTTTTACCTTCTGAAAATGATTAGCAATAAAGATGCAATTGGAACCATACCTTGTTGGAGAGCCATTGATGGACAGCTTGTTTTTTGGAGATAGACTGTTCCAAGTACAAGTAGAAGGAGATGCCCTAAAGCCACTGGCATGTTCAAGCTGTAGCTATGTTAAAACAGCGTGGAGACCTTTATAGTAGCCAAAGAAAAACTGTAACACAGTAGGAGAGCAACAACTCGCTCATTAAAGTGCAGGTTACTCATTAATTCAGCTGTAAAGCTTTTAACCAAGCGCTAGTAAAAATTTTCACATTTAGCCAAGCCTGATTCCTTTCCAATTTCTCAGGAGACCGAAGTTCGTTACTGCTTGATGCTAAATTTGAATCTTTCTCAAACTGTCTATACATTAAAAGGAACAATAGAAAGAGGCCTCCTCACTAGCCATCACATAATGGCCTCATGCCAACATAACTGATGATTAACAAGTCTGATTTCATTATAGTTGTTTCCAAGGGCATCCCATGTTATTTTTTCTTTAAGAATTAATTTTCTGTATTTAAAGATCTGACAGCAAAGGAACTGTTCATGGTGATGCTTTTATCGAAATACAGCCTCCCCGCTCTCACCACTGGCTGGGAATTAGGAGAGGTGATGCCTTTGATGTTCTGAGACCACAGGTTTGGAGAAGATGAACTGAGAACCATTCAGTAGGTACATTTCCAGAGTTTCTCTATGTCATATAATACATGTGGGCATATACCTAATTTTGTATTTATTTGTTCATTTTGTCATGTTTATGTACTGTATATTGGAAGTGATGACCCTTTGAGAGCTGTATGCAACAAAATTTCATTTTAATGTATGCCTATTAGTGTACATTCAAAGCAACAATAAAGTTATTCTATCTGTCCGTCCACCCATCCATCCATCTATCCGTCTGTCTGTCTGTCCATCTGTCTGTCTGTCTGTCTGTCTGTCTGTCTAATTAGCTGGCTAGGATTGCCATTTAAGAACGTGTTTTCTATGAAATTCCTACTGAAATCATTGTGCAAAATAAAGACCTTTGTTTTTGCTTGAAGACTTTTTGCCTCTCATCCAAGAAGCTTCTGAGTCAGAACTGAAGAAGCTTCTTGGATGTGAAGCGAAAGGTTTTCAAGAAAGTCCAAATGCCTTTTGAAAAAGCACCTTTGGATCACTGTTTCCTGGTTTCTAGGCCCGCACCATAGAAAGTTCCAGGGCTATGAATTACATGGAATGTTTAAAAAGAATAAGGACTAAGGCAATGGAAAACTATTTCTGTAATTTTGCCAGGAATATCACATGGATGCTTTCAATTTTAGTCCAAAGGAGTCTTTACTATTTACCGGCAGAGCTTTTATCTAAAAGATGCATTATTCATCAAAGAGAGAGAGAGAGGAAAGTTTATTCTATTTTTTCCTCAGGAATGGGAAAAAGTATTTGCAACTTTCCCAGGGATATGTATGATTTTTTTAAAAGGGGGAATTGCTATGCAAAGAGCAAGCCAGCCACTGTAATTTTATGAGGCCAATTTTCTTTTCCAAATGAATGTACAAAAAAGGCTGACCTTTTAAAAACAGTCAGGAATTCCTGTAACATAGATCTCTATTTTGAGAATTGGATGACAAAGAAATACATCTCATGGGATTCCTTTAAACTTTCCAGAAAACAATCGTAGTTGTCACTGACAATTTTGCAAGCTTAGTGCAATTGGGCTGGGTTGGGTTTCTTTTTAAAGTGTGCTCTTAAAAAGAGAACCAGTAGCAGAAATTTTGAATAGTTTGGAGAACCAGCAAATACTACCTCTGACTGGCCCCACCCCCATCTATTCTCTGCCTCCTGAGTCCCAGCTGATTGGCTGGGTCTTCTTTGGTTGCCCTGCACAGGAGAATGGAGCTGGAAAGCAGGTTAGTGGGGTGGGGAGGGAATGGGGATTTTGCAGTAATCTTCCCCCAGGAGATTTTGCAGTATCCCCTGTCATGCCCACCAAACCAAACCAAACCACACCCACCAAGCCATGCCTACAGAACCAGTAGTAAAAAAAAAAATTGAATCCCACCACTGATCTGTTTGCTTTATTGAGAGATTTAGCTGATGCATTCAATCTGACATGTGAAAATCAGTTTGTTTATTAGATTTTTAATCCTACCTTTATTACTTTATAATTAATAAAGAACAAGAAGAGTTCTCCACTCCTCCACTCGTTGCAGAATACCTTATGCCACCAGACTCGAAATTCTAGACCTAGAAAACCTAGAACCTAGTAGTTCCTTGAGAACTACTAAAATTGCAAAATTTGACTGTACAGATTAGAGAATTTTTCTCTCTGTACAACTCATAAGGACAAAAGGGAAATAATATTTGAGTAATTGAAGTTCTATTTATTTATTTGATTTGATTTGATTTATCAATCACTTACAAGATAACAGGTATAAGTATAAACATAGTTATGAATACATGAGATGGATATGTATAAGAAAAATAAAAAGAAACAATATTTCCTTGGGAATCATCTTTACAGATGAGCAGAACAAAACAATTGATCTCTAAGAGACATGGCTGGTTAAGAATTAAGAATAGATAGATAGATAGATAGATAGATAGATAGATAGATAGATAGATAGATAGATAGATAGATAGATAGATAGATAGATAGAGATAATAGACAGACAGACAGACAGACAGAGCAAGCTAAAGCTAGTATGATGGGTCCTGATTATATTTTTTCCCCTCTAACTATATTACACAACTGCCTTTTCTATGGTTAAGTGAACCATAGTTTACTCAGTTCTCTAGATTCAGATGAATCCTAAGCTGGCCAAAAGGTAGGTAGCTAGTCGTGGTTCAGTTTCTGGGCCTACAGCCTCTTTTTTCTTTTTGTCATTGTCCCCTCTTTTTTTATCATCTTACCCAGCAGAAGAAGGAGGTCATTCTTGTCAGAAATCTGAATTCATTATTTGTGAAGAATGCATGAAATTAATCCGAGCCTATTGGTTGGCAAACCTGCCTTGGAGGTACAATGATGGACTTACTACTTGTTACCCTATTATGAGATTTCATTTGCAAGTCTGCTCTTTCCTTCCAAGGCACCAGCCAACAACTTTTCTTTTAAGATCATTTTAGAACACGCACCATTCTACTCATTCCCATCACTCTTGTTTTCATTGCTACTTTATTCTTGAGCTATTCCATGCACTGATTACTTTTCTTTCATTATGCTGAAATCCAAACTGAAACAACAGGTTAAGACCATACATGCTGATCATTTCTTTCTTCAAAATGATTCAAAAATAACCACGGGGAGAGATTAAGTGGAGTGAATTGTGCTCTCTTTTTCCAAATCCCATTTTATTTTCGTAACAACTTTTTGAGGTAAGTGGAGAGATGAGGATTGGCCCAAAATCACTAAATGAGCTTCATAGCTGCTGGGAGGAAAGTCTTGAAAAATCTCCTGTTACCTATTCCTGGTCTGATGCTCAAATCTCTACATCACGTACTGTATAGCAATAGCACTTAGACTTATATACCACTTTACAGTGCTTTACAGTCTTCTCAAAGCTGTTTACAGAGTCAGCGTATTTGCTCCAACAATTTGGCTCCTCATTTTACCATAGGTTCATATAACATACTAAGTCATACCTTATTAAATAAATTGCAGTTAGCTGGGTTTGAACTCCTTACTAAGCCATACATTGTGGTTTACCTAACAGAACAACTTGATATATAAAAAGATAAGCCAAAAAAAAAAAAAAGCACACTCTAATATCATGTACTTTAAAATTCTGTCATTACCTGCTTGGTTCAATAAATAAAAGAAAATGTTAATGGTTCTTTTCTCCAGTAAAGTGGGTTCCACTTCCAACTGTTCCTGCATGGATTTGTTGGAAGTTAAAACCTACCCCTCTCCTAGAAAAATGAAATATTTTAGGATATACTAAAAAGGTAGAATATTTCCCCTAAAAGAGAAGTAGAACTTCAAGGAGGCAGAAACTCAACCCCCCCCCCCACCTTTGTTAATGGGCCATTAAGGCCTGGAGCAGCCTATTCTACATAACAAAGATCTACCTCCTTCAGGCAGAGCCATTTAATTGCCCTTCATTGCACGGCCCACCAAGTTTCAACCAAACTTGGCACACAGACAACCTACCAAGCTAGCTACGACTTCTGACAGCAACCAATCAGGATACTCTTCCTGTGCCCCAGGAAGTCAAAACCCAGAGAGGGCATAAAACCCAGGGACTCTCAGCATCGCTTCACTTTTCTTTGCCCAAGAGTTCCAAGGCATGTGATCCTGTCCACCATTAAACCATCTTTCCAAGCAGCCTCCATGTTTCCAGTGTCTTTTCCCCCACTTGGAACTCAACCCAGAAGGTTATTTCTTCCAACAGATTTAAGCATGCTAAAGTACACTGATTTCAGGAAAAAACATATTTAGGCAACCACAAATCAGCAGCAAAGTGTTTTTTGTATCTTTTCTGACATCTTGTGGTCCCTCAGATTTTTCAGTCAGATACTACAAATGCTCAATTCTTCCATTTGGCCAGCTTAATTTACCCTGAAAAGTTTGGTGCGTCGTTATTTAAAACGAACAATGACAGTTCTGTGCTCAGGAACAGGCCAATGGTCTTCATGTAAACAATTTTTAGGAGGCACAAAACCTGTAAAGGATAGAATAATTATGCAAATTGGTAAGGCTACACAGTATTTTGAACATAGAGGGGGCCAGGATTTCAAGAGTATTTGTTTATTTTACTATTGAACGGCATTGGCCTATTTTAATTTTTTTTTAAATTCATATTAAGCCTATTGTGGCATGCACAACAGATTATAAATGCTCCTTGACACAAACTAGCAAGTGTTAAATTCTGGGCATGGGTGCAAGGAACTGAGACGAGTCAGAGAATTAGTGAACTTCAACTCTTTATTAAAGATCAGGAACAGAGCGAAAACCCTTGGGCAGCAGTAGCCCTTTTATAGAGCTAGCTACTGACCCGTTAACCAATGACCTGTGTCCAAATGCTTAACTTTTGCCCAATGAGAGATGTTAAACTAATAGCCAATCAGGTTGCTCCGTGAGGACCAATCCCTGTTCGCTATCCAAGGGCCAATCCAACGTGCAGGATTTCAAGCCTGCT